GCTGTGGCAGCGCTTCCGCATGGCTCACGCAGGAATGAATGAATGGCTGGGCGCTGCCTCTTGATTTATACTTCAGAAATTCGTTGGTCTGCCCTTTGCCATCGGCCCTTGGTGCTCACAGTCCCCCTGTGGTACTTGYTGGACTGGACTGGGACTCTCTAGACCCTTCTGCTGACTGTAGGCAGTCGTACCGTCGACTCAGTGCAGTTGCACTGAGGTCCCACCTGTTGACCTTGCCACTTGTCTTCGTCTGAAAACGTGGGCCTACCTTAGACTCACCACTTGACCACTTGCCGACCTTCTAGAAGGACTACAGCTAGGCCTCTGGACTCTACTTGGACTCCTACCTTACAGGTCTACAGTTCGAATCTCCCTACAGCCTACAACCTACGACGACCTACTCACCACTGGCTATCGTGCAGATCACGGGTTCAACTCCAGGGAACTGTGCAGATACTGTACACAGGTAAGCTGAGGTCAAGGGATCGACCCCTGGGCTCTGGATCGGCTACTGCCAAAGGTGAAAACTGTTTCACATCTGAAAACTTAATGTAATGAACCCACTCCGAGAAGTTCACAATTCCAGATCATGCATGTACTCAAGTTGAATAATGAGTGTCATCAACAGAAAGCAGCAAGTAGACTTAAAATTAGACAACGATAGAGAAGAATAGGAGCGGAGGATGAAATCTTTCAATAATAATCAGTGAAATTAGTGAATACAATTTTCACGGCTCTTCCACCCTCGTCCAACCTCCAGCGTCTTCCTCTCTGCTCACCTAACCCTCTAAAATTCTAATATGATGAAGCCAGTGTCACTTCCAGCTGCAACTCGCCAACACATCAGTCAGCCATCCAGCGCAATGTCACAAGGGGCTATGAAAGCTGATGCCACAAACCAGCTCCGTCAGTCCTCAGAAGCAAGGCACTGTCTCTCCAGTAAGCATTCACCACCAGGCACGTCAGGTGAGCCTTTCTCACACTTGTCTGTCCGCTCACCTCTCTTCACAGGTATGATCCCCCTCAATCCTCACTCTCTCTTTACCACTAAGCTATGGTGCAGCAGATCTTTCCTAGCTATGGCTATCTACTGCTCACTCTCTCTCAAGCTCTCTGTCTACCTGTCCTCCAGCACTACCACTCTGAAGCAGCACTCCAGCATCCAGCCAATGCGAGGCAGAATGAATGAGCCAACTGGGGCAGGCCGTCCTCAAGTACAGCTGACTCAGCCTGGCCTGCCCCACTTGCCTCCTTGAAGGGCTCAGATTTCTCGAACTGTGTGACACAGATTATTGGTGGCCAGTGAGTTCCTAGACCTACTGGGCCTTGGAAACTTCTTGGATCTGCACACAGCCTTTGGACGAGAGATGGTTAATGGGTCCTCTAATATTCAGTGAGTACATAGAGTGCGTTCAGTGTTCATAGGGTACAGAGTCAAAAGAATTCTACAGCACAGGTTCTTTTCCATAGGTGGAAGAGGAAGACCATAGAAGAGAGATAGTTAACGGGTCCTCTAATATTCAGCGTGTACATAGAGTGCGTTCAGCGTTCATACACACTCAGACATAAACACTTGAACAGGGGAGCTGTACTCCAACATTTTGAGGACCCGGACAGGGGGCCTACAAGCCTAGAGACGTGGGGTCGTTCAGCGTCTTCAATGGATTCACCACTTCAGAATGCTAAAAAACTTCAGCATTTTTACAAACTTAGAGAGGGGGGGGACACAGAACATTCTGAAGGTCTTGAAGTGGTGGATCCACTGAAAATGTTGAAGTACACCCCCGCCTAAGGAAACAAAACAGGGGGAGGCGGGGGGGTTCAAAATTTTCAGCGTCTTCACCACTTCAAAATTTTCAGAATCTTCAGCGTTCCTACACGCTCACAGGGGAGGGGGGGGTGTACTTCAACATTTTTAGTGGATTGCTTCAAAATCTTCATAACGTTCAGCATCGCGAATGTTGAACATTTTGAAGGTTTTGAAGTGGTGAATCCACTGAAAATGCTGAAGTACACCCCCCCTTAGAAAAACAAAACAGGGAGAGGCAGGGGGGTGTTCAAAATTTTCAACATCTTCGCCACTTCAAAATTCCCAGAATCTTCAACGTTCCTACACACTCAGACAAGGGTGGGGTACTTCAGCATGTTTAGTGGATTCACGACTTAAAAAACGTTTATATGCACTCGGGCAAGGGGGGCGAATGCTGAACATTTTGAAGATTTATTCAACGTCATCCAAAGTAGGGGCATTCAACATTTTCGATACTTTTAAATCGTTAAGACTCGATTTCACAGAACTTCAAAAATGTTGAAACATCTTCACTTCAGAATTAGTTTCATTGTTTCAGCCAAGACTCGAATTGTCGTTGACCACGTGTGTATGTCTGTTGCATAGGACGGGCCATCCTGATACCCTGCAACTTTGAGAACTTCTCATGGACCAAAGTCGAGAGGAAATAATTTTTGAGTGATACCTTCTTCTAAGGAGAATTCATGAGACTTTTTTTCTTAATTACTAAAGGGCAACGACCTTCAGATATCACCATTGAAATGATTGGCTTGGGATTGCATCCGGATTCGAGTTTGGGTCTGTATTTCACTAGTTCATGGATGTACCAAGTGAGTTGTGGGCACTTCGGTGGAATTCATTAGACTTAAACCACCACTGCCCCCACCGACCTAAAATGGACTTTCCTGGCCTTACGGACCGCGTTCTTACGGGGGGCGAAGACCGGCAGGCGCAGGCGGGTCCAGTCCAAGAACTTACAAACGCACACTTTAGCGATTTTCTGCGCACAAAAAAATTGATAAAAAAATCTGAAAATTTGAGATCCTGTAGATTAGGTCGTGATCTTTTCAGAAAAAATATTTAAAAAAATAAAAACAAAATGTTTAGACCATGAAGTAAATGTCGCGTCGGTTCTTCACA